CGGGGGCAGGAGGGGCAGGCTTAGCTTGCTTCTCCTTAGGTGATCCACTTCAGGAGGGGCCCTGTGGCAGCAGGAGGGAGTCAGATCCGCTGCCGGAGGTTTGGCTCCGCAGAAGCGCAGAGTTGGGTGTTTGCGCGGAGCGAGCAAGTAGGGAGATGCTTTTAAAGCTTGCTTTTAGTATCTGTTAGGGAAGTCTCAAAGAAATCTTTTGACTGGTGCCAATTTAGCTCTACTGCTATGGCACTGACTTCCTGAGTATTTTCCCTACTTCTTCTTATATACATCCTTTCAATTTTTGCTGATAGGAATTACTCCCAGCCTTATATATATTCTTGTAATTTTTCTACTTTTTCTTTCCCACTGATTCCTGCCCTTGGCTTACATGGTTTTTTTCTCATACACCCTCAGATCATTTCTCATTTACCCAGATCCAATTGAATTAAATCCCAGAAATATGAAAAGCTTTGAAAATGCTCACTTTTCTAGCACTGGTGATGATTCTGATCTAAATTCTTGCCTTTTGTATGTCTAGCAGTGTGTATTTGTAAGATGGTTTAACATGGTTTATTGTACGTTTGACATTTGTATCATATCAAGTCATGGGGACATCAAAACAGAACAAGGTAAGAATAGACAAGGCTTGTAGCCTAATTTAGCAAGATAAGTTTGACAACACACTAAGTATAGAGAAAGGCAAATATTTACTGAAATTTTGGTAGAAAACCCATTTCAGGATACTCGGAGTTTAGATCAAATATGTAAATCTTATCAATTTGATCAGGTAGCGAAAATACAGCCCTTATGAATAAAATATAGACAAAAAAGAGTGAATAATTGAAAAAAAAAAAAGGTTGTGACATCCAATCCTAGGGCATAAGCAGTTGACTGTTCTGATTCGATTTTCCTATGATGTGTGGCCATAGCCTGGAAGATCCTTGTTCTGATGACTTCCAACAGAGTATACCTTACAGGAAAACCAATGATCTGGTCATGCTTAAAATTCCTATATCTGACTTAATCCACTTGTAGAACAGGTTAAGAAAGTCTAGGAAGTAATCTCTTTCCCTCCCTTGTCTGAGGCCACTGCACACCTCTGGCACCCTCTTTCACATGTATTGATTCTGTGAATTTGTTAATTGGTCTTTGGTTAAGAAAATAGCATTTTATATCAAGTCAAACACCTGTGTAATTTGCTACTTGTTGATAGTTCATTTATTACAGAAGAGTTATCTTTGCAGTAAATCTGTTTTTCTATATTCTTTAAAGCTCTGTTTCCACATTAATTTCTAATGCTATACCATTTTTTAGGGAAACCTGGTATGTTTTACATGTTTTAGAACAGAACTTGCCAACTTCTACTTTAGAAATATCTTTTTCCAAGTGCAATTTAAGCTGTGTACTATAGAGGAGAGAGGACAACCCATTGAAGTGGTTTTTGAAGATACATCCCTAGATGAGAAACTTCATCATCACTTGGAAACTTTTAGAAATGAAAAATCTTGGACACTGTCCAGACCCACTTAATCAGAAGGACCTAGGGGATGATGTTTATTAATGTGTGCTTCAACAAGCGCTTTGGATGATTTGATGCACGCTAAACTTTGGAATCACTGTATTTTTAAACAAGGACATCCTGTTCTTGCCTCATACCATGTGGTCCTGGACAAGTAACAACTTTCCTATGTCTCCAAATCCTCACTGGTAAAATAAGGATAATAATAGTACCTATCTTATGGGGTAGTTATGGTAATTGAATGGAACAATACACATATTTTGTTGAGAGTAATTTCTAGAACATGGTAAGCATACAGAAGTCTACTATTTTCCATGTCTAGGCTAACCACACTATGGTGTCTCATTAAGTCACCAAATATTTAGTGTATGCCTACTATATCCAACCATTCTAACATTTTGGATTCTCTAAAGGAAATTCTATATAGTCCATGATTTCAAACCATGTTTATAATCTTTATAAGGATATAAAATATATGCAAAAAATGATAGCCATGAAAACTAATAATGATAACAAACACTGTTATAGCATTTACTTTGTGCCCGTTTAATACAATGTATAATAAAATAGCTACCTAGTGTCCTCATTTTACAGGTAGGGAAACAGAATCACAAAAGGGCTAAATAACTTGCCCAAGTTTACACAGCTAGCCACTGGAAGAGCCAGGATTCAAACAACCTGACTTCAGTTGTGCTTTTTAACACTTAAATTTCAGTACCTAATACATATGTCAGATGATTGTTGTAGGCAACAGATATGCTTTAGAAATCCCACCCTAATTTAGAGTGACCAAGAAAACTACTTTTGCTGAAGAGGCAGACTTTGGATTAAACCTCAGAATTTTAGTAATATTTAAAATCAAGTTAAAAGAAAAAAAAGCACTTCCGATGGAGGAAATGTCCAAGAAAATGAGGGAATATGAAAGGCGAGGTTAGGCTCTGGTCTATTCAGGCGTAACGTAGATATAGTGGAAAATACTTTTGGAAGTAAATAAGAAATCAAGTATATACATTTACAATGGGTCAGGGAATGGGCTAAATACCTACACATATTACTTCACAGCAACTCAACTGAGTTCTGTAATTATCATTCTGATTTTATGGGGGTATTTACTGAAGCTTAGATGCCTTGTGATTTGTTCAGTTCTGTAAATGTCAGAGAAGGGTTTTGAGTTCTAAGGCCTGGAATTTAAATACTTGCTTTACTGTTTCATATGATATATTGCTACCAGATTGTAAAGGGCCTCGTATGCTCGGATAAGGTGTCTTCTTTATCCTGTGGTCATGGAGAGACCTATTAGCATACTGGGTGTACATGTAGGTGTTGTGAGTAAACTGCTCGGGTGCATATCTAGTTCCACCACTTCCTAGCTGTTTGCCTTGCACAAGTTACTTAATCGT